AGGGGAGGAAAGAGCACCTGAAATGTGTCAGCAACTAAATTTGCTCTGTGAGGTCAAACTCTGAGGCTGAGGGACATAATTGTTTCCTCTTGTTTTGGTATTGCACTCTTGAACAAATTACAATTTTAGATGTTACTGCAATTTTACATGATAAAATCTAGACACAAAGAATCCTTTCTGACTGTTAGTTGGCATTGAGGATCATATGGAATTACTCTGATATTTCAGTGGGTGAATACGAATATTGAAGTAAAAAAAGCTTGCAGTGTAAGGTGCAAAAAAGCACAAAAGAATTTCATCAATCTGCTTGAAGGTGACTAAATACTTTATTTAGTGAACAAATAGGCATTTAATAATGACCCCAAACATATCACGTTATCTAGAGCAACACTCAAATTTTGTGATTCAAGTCTGCCCAGACATCGTGCATCAAATGTAATTCTAAATATTACTGATTGTATGGTCACGCTTTCTTTTATCTTCTTCTGTTTTGGCAATGCTGAACCTAGCAAGAGGAAACCAAACTTACTGTGTTTGCTCTTGGCTTCAGTGAATCCTAACCACAAAACAGCAGGCTGATTCCACTTGTATTGAGTGCCATTACTGTAAGAGGCCTCAATAGTTAGGCTGCAGCCACTTTTAGTTGCGCTTTCAGCTCTTCAATTAAACTGGAGGTGGTAATGAGACATATGCCACAAAACCTACCAACACAGGTCTTTTAATTCTCCATCCAGGTTCTGTTATGACTGGGTAGTTCATTTTGTCTCTGGCTGCTCAAACAAGGGCAAAGAGGGAGGTTTGGGTGGTAGCAATTAGAGGGAGACAGCTGTGGTTCATTGGGTATCAGCTGCATGCTTTTGGCTATAATGGGAGAAGCATCCCCAACAGAAAGTGTAAGAGAACTTATACTGATGAATGAGTTGGCATGCTTGGACACAACAGTTATTTCTTTTCTTTTTCCTAATTTTAGTGAAGAACTGCTTTTATGTTTGCAGAGTATTCTGTGTATTTGTTGATGTCCAACTTTAATCTACAGCCAGCTTGAATTTACTTTTATACTGTGCTGAATGTTGCCTTCAATCGCAGTTTCAGTGCTGTGCAAATGAATTATAGTGAAGTGTTTAATAAAATTCAATCTCAGGTGCTGATCACAAACTACTGTCTGCTCCAATATGATTTGCAAATGTACTTTTAAGTTTTTACATTTGTCAGGAGGAATAGTTGGAGGTCATTTACCTGTGATTGGTCACACATTTGTTACCTTTATTGGGTCGACAGCCTAAAAACAGTAGCTGAATGTTGAGGGACATATGAAGGTCATAGATTTAAATGAAATAAGAGGATGTATTATGTGTGAACACACAATAGACTGAGGTGTTGGTCCATCGTTTTCTTTAGGTAAATTGTCTTAATTCTGATGAGTAATTGTATACGTAGCATTCAGCTTTGTAAAATACTGATGGTTTTTTCATCTGTTTCTGTCTGTTTCTATCCCTCTCTCATCTATTTTTGATCTATTTAACTTGTTCTTTACATTTTTAATTCTGATAGTATTTGCTAAGAAAGCGAATTTTTAAGATTGCATATGATGGCTTCAGGATTCCAACTGCCACTTGCTTCATACAGTTACGAATACTTTTCCAAGAGCTAGCTATTGTTTTGTTTTGTTTTTTTTTCTACCCTTGACCGGGTGAAGAATGCTTTTTATTCTCTTTAATTTTGGAGAGAAGTAAAAGAGACTGAGAAAAGGCCCTTGGCTTCCCTGATCATGGCATTTTCAAAATGCTTGACTTTGCAGATTTTGTGGGTTTTTTATCATAATTTTTAAGATGGAATGTTTACAAGTCATTGAGCATCATCTTGGGATTTAGAAACTAATAATAAGTCTAACATAAAATAATTACTTTTCCTAGAAATGTTTGTTTTATTACTTACCCTTACTTCATTTCACGCGTGGGGGAATACTTCTGAACTCCATATTGCACATCACAATTTGCTCCGAAATAGTCGTATCTTTGAAACAGCATAGCAATTTGAAGAGTAAGTACCCAATTCAAATGGATAAAACAGCTCATTGTTTAGTCGTTTTCTAGTTTAAGGTAAGAGGATTTACTCTCCCGTATCTAAATCAAGTATACAAGTGCTCTTTTTCAGCATCTGATAAAAGGATGAGTTCTTTTTTGTTTTATGTATAAAATTATCCTACCAAAGGAAAGCAGTATATCAAGCATGGGTTACTGTGGGTGGGGTATTCTACTTTCTTAAATCTGGAATCTATAAAATGAGAAATATTTCCCATTGTAAGCATTTCTAAAACAGGAAAAAAAAAAAAAAACAACTAATCTTTATTCATTATTTTTTTGAGTTAAGACTGTTGTGACTAAAACAGAACTTCATGCAACATAAATAGCTATTTCTCAGCAGATGATTGATAGAGTAGCACTTTTGGCTTAATATACTTTTCTCTAACATTATTTTGAAATTATACTTTTAATCTTTCATACTAGAAATAAAGGATCAAATTGGTTGAGCCCCAGCACTCGCAGTAAGAGCAAAACTGACTACTTTGAGCTCGTGTTGCGGTATAGTATGTAATTAATTAGAGCTGAATGATTCTCTATGTATTACAAATTTTACATTGATTTCAGGTGTACAAAAAAGGAAGAAGTAGGAATCTTAACTTTTCTCTTGTAGAGTCAGTATAGTACTTGGAAAGGACCAGCAAGCAGCACTTGAAAGTGTGGTTTGCATCCATAAATTAACAAACAGCAGTCACTAAATAGATTAATAATTGTGCGAACATGTAGTATTCTTCTTTACAGAATGGTGGATAGCACCCTGGAGGAGCAGCTAGCAAAAATAACATGAAGAGGCTTGTGACTATGAGCAGGCATCGCATTTTCACACAGACACACTGTTGAAGCAAATGATTTGATACTCCATTATGTCATACCTTTGTGTATTGATTTTGCCTCAGGAAAAGGCAGTGCAGTTTCTCAAATAAGTGATGAAAGCCCTGATTTCAGTTTGTTTGGGGGTAATTGGTAAAAGTGTTGGGTCCAAAGGGATTAGAGGTCTCCCCAGAAATCAACTCATAGATAAGCTCGCAAACTGTAAGACTTGTGAGACCAATAATTATTTCGCTTCAGTGACTTCTGTAGGTACAAATGAAAATAAAGCCAAGTTCTACAAAATAAGGCAAATCTGTGAGAACTTCTGGGAAGTAGGCTGATGAATTAATTCCTTTTCTTCTTTTGAGATGAACTGTGCATAACTACATTAATTCTGTGAGATCTTTTCAGACAGGAGCGTCAAATTAAGTAAAACGTATCGTAGCTTGCAATAGAACCAAAACTTAATTCATGTGATTTTGTCATACTTTTCAATATAACAATCACACGGGAAAGTTTATATTGTATTTCAGCTTATAGTCATGATTTGAGTTTTTATATTAAATAGTTTTCATGTTCTTTACATAGTGAAAACCCACGTGTTAAAAAAAAAAAAAATTCTCTATGAAGTGCACGATTGTTTGCTCTTACATTTCAGTACCTGGTGTAAAATCTAGTGTTTACTGTTACAGAAGTGTTTAATTACTTTGGTTGAGCTTTCTAAAGACTGTTTATACAGCACTGATGACATGTTATGGACTTAGAAAATTGTTAACTTGAAAATTTAATGAAATGTGTTTAAGAAGACATGGACTTTGGCAAGAAAGAAATTTATGAATTCAATTCACGTGTTAAAGCACAAGCTCATAACGTTCAGATAGAATTGTATAAGAGTAAACACTTTCTTAAAATACCTGTGTTTAGGAATCTAGTGAAGTTTCACACATCCTACACTGCCAGAATAACTGTTGGAAGAATTTAAACAGTTTGTGTGAAGATGTCTAAAATCAGAACTGTTGACTTTGGCAGTGAGTCCATGGTTACTGAAACTGAAATGAAAGAGAAATTTTCCATCCTGTACTGCTCGTCTTGTTTTATTTTTTAAATGTTTGTGTAACATTTTTGTGTTGTCTTGTTTGTATTTTATGTGAAAACTGTGCAAAGGGTTTAGAGGTACAAGATTTTCTTTGGTGTTCTGAAATCAGCATATAAAACTAATTATCTTCATACTTGGTCTTTGACAATTGCTATATATGTGCCAGACAAATGCAGCTGGTTACTCTTAAATTTTGTGTATGTAGATACATATATATATGTAGATATATATATATGTATATAAACATAAGTAGATTAATAAATACATGTATACTTCCTAAATCTTTAGAAACACTTCTTGAATGTTTTATCTATCACTGTCCCTGCTTGACATACTCTTGCGCTGTTCTAACTAAAGTGCCAAAGATCATCCTGTAAAGACTTTGTAGTTAGTTGGATGTGATTTTAAATAATATAAAAGCATTAATAGAAAAGCTTAAGCATCAGTGTGGCATAATCTGTTGTAAATGTTTTATCTAATGCTGGATAACATGTAAGTAAGTACTTCAAGGTTACTCAATGAGCATTCAAGATCCCATAATAAAACTGTCTATTGGTACAGTGTGTAAACCTAGGTGTTGTCGCGTGACCTGCTAAATCGTTCACTCTTTCTTGAAATGCTTTACAAGACTTTGGTTCCTTTAAAGAGTAGAGGGAAGTAAAGTACAGGTTAGTTATTATCCCTTACATAGTTCTAATTGCATTCTTTTAACTAATGAGGAGGAATTCTCATCAGAATCAGCAGCATTTATAATTATTATTGGCAAGAAATAAAATTCTGATTTTTATCACTGCTGAGGAATTGCTTGAAAACTGCCAAGATAGAAATGTATTTGTCAGATTTAATTATCAAGCTCTTTGCTCTTACAGGTCTTCCTATTCCAGTGATTAGAAATAAGGTTAAACAGAACTCCCAGCTGCTTGTAATTACACAGATAACTTGGTTTCTGTGGAATGAACACTCTCTCTGCTGTATAGTTATCAATATGCCCTGGATTTTGTCTTCTCTTTCAGGCAGAACTTGTTGATATACAGTATGGGACCATAGAAGACTTGATGCGAATTCAAACCGCTACAAATGTGACCAAAAAAATTGCACTTCTGAAGCTAGGACAATCACCTTTACTTTATAAGGTTAGTTTTACACTTGATCTACAGTACCTCTTACATGTAACATTTGTTTTGCTGTGTATCTTAGAGTGCTCCAGTGTCCTGCTGTGTTTTAGCTGTGTACTATAATCCTTTTGGCAAATGAAGAAATCCTCAAAATAATAATAAAGTATAAGGTGGGGGGGGAGGGGAAGGGGGGAAAGGCAGCTGAAATCAGCTGTTGCATCTTTGCAAAAAACTGCACAGGTAAGACTGCTGAAATCTTGTTTCCACGTTATTATATGTAGCACTTAACCTGCTGGCTATAGGTTGAGTGTGCTGGTAGAAGAAGCAGAGTACTTTGTGTACTCACCTGACCCTCAGCTTCTGAGAGTGTTTCCAGTCCCAGGGGGCTGGGTCTAAACTGCAGCGCTTTTGCCCTCAATACAGATGTGCTGCTGAAAGCACTGAGATTGTGAGGTAAGCAATAGCGTACACTATAGGAGGACTACCTAATTGGTTTTGGATTTGTTTAAGAAATTACACTGTAACTTGATTTCGTTGTTACATGATACAGCCATGTTCTGTGGGTAAGGTACCACTGCCTTCCTACTTCTTCCTTCCATCCTTACCATCTCAGAGGGAGAGAGACTGAGCTGGAGAACAGTATTAATTTTCGTGGTGTTTCTGCTGCAAAATGTGCGAGCAGACAGGCATTTATCCTTACTTCTGTTAATTTTACGGGCTCCTCTTGTAAATTCGCCAGGATTTACCTGCCTGTGGTTGAGTTTCCATAGGTTCAGAGTGAGCATGCTTTTTCTACTCCCTCCCTTTCTTTGTTCTTTGGCTGTAGCTATGTAGGGAGAAGAGTACATGCATATGTGTTTGCTCATTCTCCTACTACTCCAGCCCAGGCAGAGAGCACTGAGTTGGAGCTCAGCAGTCCATTTGCAAATTAGATGTAATGGAGTCCACATATAAAACACATTTAAACCCTGAATATCATGTAACTGTTTTCTATTGCAAATATTTTACAAGCAGAATACTGTTTTGCCTTTCAGAAAATACACTAGCCCAATAAATAATTAAACAATTCATTCCCAATTCACAGTAGCAATTATAAAACAACAGTAACTCCAGATCTTATAATTAACAGAATCAGGATCTGCTCTATCAGCCACGAGAAAGTGCAATCGGGACCACAACACAGGTTTAGAAATTAAGCACTTGGTTGTTTTTTTTTTAAATAGGGATAATATTTGTCTTAATAAAAATGCCATTTTCAACTGAGTAGCTTTAGTTGTTTGTCTACATTATTTAGCTGCAATCTAATTAAGTTTGTGAAAGGTCAGTTATCATTGCTGGAACTTGGCTGTTGTGCATCATTTCCGCCGATAGATCTTATACTGTATTTCAATGCCAACTGACAAAAATAATGAAATAGCAGTTGGAGCTCATAAAATAGGAATTTGATAAAGAGGCAAAGCTTGCTATAATAGTGTTGTTACAGTGTCTGTGGAATAGACACTTTTACCAATTTAATTCTATTTCTGTATGCACTTATTATGTCTAAATTACCAAGTAGTACAGCTGAAGGAGCAGAGCAAGATAGTTGATCCTGACAACTTAGGATTTTTGCTATGTCTACAGCAGTTTGGTCCAAAGGAGTGCATGCTAATTAGTAGTTGAGCACTCATTTGCTCTTTTAAAATTATCCATTTTTGCATATTCAGATTGTTGCATAATGCAAACCAAAGTGTGATCAGTGTTGATGATCAGGAGATTGACTGAAAACACACTGCTGATCCAACTAAGGAGACAGTCACATATATTTGATGTCACTTTAATAACAGTTGCTGAAGTCGTGAGGGGAAAATATAGCAATCCCTCAAACCTGTACTCATCTCACACACGTAGAAAGTTTGGTTTTATTTCTTGTTTCTTCTTTCTGAGGTTGTAAACTCTCTTTTTTAGGATATAAATTGTGCCTCTTTGGCTGTGAAATGACCATAATCTTTTAAAAATATGAGGAAAATATGTGGGAGGAGAGAAATAGTCTTTTGTAGGAAATATTTGAACTAAAAGAGAAAGATTGCATTAAACAGCTAGTCTTAATAGGCGCCATATCTCACCACTGAATGCATTTCTTGTCTGCCTTTTCCCCTAAAGTTTGCTTCTGTATTTACTGAGTCTGTTGTAGCAGATGCTTTCCTTTGCCTTTTATTTTCCTTATCTCTGTCGTCCACGTGCTTGGTTTACATCACATTAAAACAGAACACTAGGTCATAACAGAGGTGTCACTGTATATGTGTATATATATCTTGTTCTTTCTATTTTTTCTGTCCAACTTGCATTTTTCACATTTTAATGTTCTTTAATTTCTCATTATTACTACCTTATATTGTACAATTATCTTTCTTAGGTTTTGGGCCTTATTTTTATTAGATTTCCACCAAGATGCCTGAAGAGGTTTCCTCTTCATAACAATTTTTAATCTTGTCTTTGTTTTTCAGTTTTGAGTTTTCTATTGCATGGGTACATTTTTTTTTCCTTTCTGTCTTTTACTGCCATCTAGACTGTTTTTCTATGTTCTTCCTAGTCTCATCTTTTGTATTTTCGTATTATTTACTTTTAAGTCTCACTTGTTTCCTCTCTCCATATTGAAATTACTCAATGGTAGCCTTAAAAGTGGGGTGAAAGAATGATAGAAATGGTTCAAGAGCTGGAGAAAGTTACAGCGGGAAGAAGGCAGAGTCACTGACATGATTACAGTTTTCAAACTTCTTTGATTACTCCTAGAGCAGATCCATGGCTACAAACCAGAACATTTTTAAGAGCCTGGTAATTTCAGAGTATAGAACAAAAAAATCTTCCTTAAGGTGAAAGCTGAAACTAGAGAAATTTAAATTGTAGATGAAGCACAACTTCTGGAACCATCTTCCAGAGAAAATACTTGTTTTCTCCCACCTTCAGATTGAAAGTGACTGCCTTGTAGTGTTCTGCTAAAAGGAAAATCTGCTACATACAGTAATTGCTTTTGCTGGAACTTGTGTTATCGGTGAACTTCAGTGAGTAGTTACATACAGTAGATCAGAACACATTCACTACGTTCTTGAATAAAAAGGGGAAAGATAACTAAATTTATTACTAGGGATGAAACAAATTGCATTTGTGGTGTAAATTACCTTTCTTGGAAGGAGCAGCTTGAGTTTCCTGCTGTGTCTGTAGACACAAACATCCTCTTTCAATGATATAAAATGTGTGGTGACAAAAAGACTGATTAAACCACCTCACCAGCATGCAGCTACTCTGCCCTAAAGCTTCTCTGACTATATGTCATGACTGTGAGCACATAAAGGAAGCTAGGGGGATGTGTTGTTTTTTGGTGTTATTTTCTCCAGAAAAGAAAACAACACAGTAATGTCAATATTCAGACTGGAAATATCATGACTGGAATCATTTTTTGAAGAATGCTGTGAATCTGGTTCAAGATTTAATCTTTGAGTTTGGGGATTCAAGGAAAAGCCATAACTTTTATCCTAAATGAACTTTTAATAAAGTAGCAATAGCCCTGGAGGCCAGATTACTTAATCTTTACAATGTGTGCACATTAATATTTTTCTTACATTCATTAAATGAAAATGTTGTACTAATGTGTAAATATGTGTATTTTAAAAAATATTTACAGCCTTCATGAATATTCATAGAACTGATTTTTAACTGTCATCAAGTTTAGAAATGTGGATGTTTGCATCTTTATGCAGGGATTCTTGGTAGCCACTTATGGACAAAGATTTAGTAAATGAAAAATAGAATAAAAGTCATTTAGAAAAGGACTTCTATTTAAAAACTGCATTTAAAATCAGTTTAGTTCGGAAAGTCATTGCACGTTTCTACTTTCTACATTGTTAGGCTTCTTTTTTTCTCTCAACGTTGGATTCTTTTCATCTGGCATGTTTTATGGCTAGCATACACAACTGTGAAGATCACGTTTTAAATCTCCATTCAACTACGACTCTGTCTCTCCTTATATCTCCTGCTCCTTCCGCCTATACACACGTGTATCTACGCGTGCGTGTATACAAACTATATTGATTAAAACTTTTCCAAGGATTCTAAGCACCTCATATGCATTTCATTATTAAGGACAGTGGGTTTTTTGCTTCGTAGGATGATTTTTTTTCCAAGGCACTTAAAGTGTTTGCATACTCACTTCCTCTGTACTGCGAGATTTATGATGATATTATATCCTCTTGAGAAGCCTTACTTGAAAATTCAAGCTGTATCTGTAGGTAGTATGAATAAAAGTTATGGAAGCATATAAAACTAGACCTGCAGAACTGGATTGGAAGAGATCACGTAGTGCATTACTTAGGGTAAACCTACTGTATCTACTGTGATTCCTGGTAATTCTTTGTTGTCTTTCTTAAGTATTTCCAGAGTAGAAATTTCAGCGTTTTCCTCAGTTATGATTTCCTGGACTGCACCATTGAATACTGCACGTAAAGTCTGTTAATTTTGTCCTGTGTGCTGAGAATACGGCAGGCTCCTTTTCCTCTGCAATAAGGTCTTATCTATCATGCTTTTCAGTTTTCTCTTTTTTAGACTGAAAAAGCTGTTTCTTCTGGTCTTTTTTTCATATTGTTTTGTGTAACCTTCACTTGTTCTATAGATTGAACACCTTTCTACTAGTTTGAAACTGATGTTTGTTTGGTTTTTTTTGCCCCAGAACTGTAGTTGGTGTTTCATCTGAGCCTGGTCACAAATTTCTTCAAAACCTCTTCCTTTGTTCTGTTTTTACAATTGGCTTAAATGTAGTAACGCTCATTTGAATAGCATCTGGTTTCTCAAGATTCCTGTTATCTATTATCTTCTTAAAATCTTATTCCAATTGCCATAATCATGAGTTTCTTTTGAAGAGGCGAAGATGATTTCAGATTGCTTGATGATGGTCATGTTTGCTGATGTGGATTTTGTGGTTTGGCCAAGTTGTATTCCTACAAAGTATGTTCTTACTTTGCTTTTGAGGAACCACTGGTTGCCTT